GAAAATCTTGACTCAACTGTCTTGAACAAGGGAAAATGCTCTGCATTGCAAGGTAAGGCATGCGGATAAAGCAACCTCAAGACTGGCCATGCAGTGTGGGGTCTTATCAGCATATTCAAGGACCTTTCTGTCCTCTGCTCCATCAGCCTAAAGGATCAACTTGGTTACTCAGGCTTCTTCCCAACAAAGCCACAAATGTTGTAGCAAGACAGGGTATCATTGGAGAAAAACAGAAACCATCTTTGCCCTTATGCTCTTTTTATTGTTGAGGAAAATATTTCTTCATAATTTAATTTTTATTGTGCTAAAATAAACATAACAATATTTATCACTGTAACCATTCATGAGTGTGCTGTTCTATGGCATTAAGTACTTCCATGATAACCATCTGTACTCTACATGAAACTTTAATTATTCTTATAAAAATTCTGTGTCCATTAAACAATAATTTCCCCTCTCATCCCTCCTACCAGCTTGCCCTAACTTCTGTTCTCATTTCTGTCTCCGAATTTGCCTATTCTAATTACCTCCTGTAAATGAAGCCATATAATGTTTGTCCTTGTGTGTCTGATTTATATTACTAATAATAATGTTTTCAAAGTCCATCCACGTTATAGTGCACATTAAAATTTCATTCCTAATGGCTGAATAATATTCTATTGTATACATGGACAACATTTTGTTTACCATGCATTTATTGGTGGACCCTTGAGTTGTTCCACTTTTTGGCAATCTTAAATAATATTGGGTAAGTTTACGTCTCTCTTGTGACCTGTTCCGGGTTGGCCAGATGTGTCAACCAGGTTTTACTTACAGGCAGCAGATAATCAGAGATTAAAAACTCATTCTGAGGCTTAGCAGCGCTCTGTACTGGTCTGGCCATGGGAAAGTCTCGTCCTTTTCTGGACCTCTCCGAAGTTCCTGCAAAAGAGAGATGATAAAAATCACTTCTTGGGGCTGTTGTGGAACTCAAATGAGAAAATGTGTGAGAGTGGCTATTCCTGTCACCTCTAAACTCCAGCTCTGTATATTAACATCCCTTCCTTGGCATTCCTGTTTTGAAGGGGCAGCAAGCATCTCCCACTTACCATACCTGAGTCTGAGCTCTCCTATGCCACTTCAAACCACCTCCTTCTCCATTCGTCCCAAATCAGCCAATGGCATCTCCATCCCTGGTGTCCTCCTCAACTCCACCCCTTGTCCCCAATATCAAGTCTATTAACAAGTACTGTCACTCTCTTTTTGAAATACATCCAGAATCTGACCATCCCCCTCACCTTTACTCTCTTGGTTCAGGCCACCATACTCCCTTCCCTAGATTATTGCATGGCCTCCTATACAGCTTTCCACACTTGGTCCCCCATTCATTATTTCAGTCACTTAATCTTTTGCAACTCTCCTACCAATTTAACTGCTCCGGCCCCAGCTCTCCTGCTGTTCCACCGAATATCTTCAGGGCCTTTGTATTTGTGGTTTCCCCTGTCTTACTTAGCCACATGGCTAACTTTTCACTTCCTTCAAGCCTTTACCAAAAAAAAAAAAACAAAAAACAGAGTGTCTGTGAGGCCTTCCCTCGATGTCCTATTTCAAATTACAGTACCTGCCCTTGATATATCATATTCTCCTTTTCTACTTTCTCTTCTTAGTACTTACTATGAATATGCTCTTGGTCTTGTTTATTTGTAATGTTTATTGTGTCTTTCCTATTGGAATGTCAGATTAACAGCTCTCTACCAGAACACCCCTGCTCCATAAGGGGAAAGATTCTTGTTTTGAGTTCACTTGGTACCTCAGTGGTAGGGCAGAGCCTGGCACATGGTGACCACTTAATAAATTTGTTAGTACAGCATTTTATGGAAGAGAAATCTGAGGCTCAGCACAATTAAATAATCCGCTCAAGGTCACACAGCTAGGAAGTGGCCTAAATGGGTAGTTAAATGTCCTTCCATGCTTTACAACATAAAAAAAAAAAAATGCGCAAAAAGGCAGGACAATACCAGCAGGCCCTCTCTAGCCCTGCTCCCTTCCACCAGTTGAAGAAAGGAAGGGTTTTAAATGAGGAAGGATTCGGTGCTGGAAGACTTTGTGGAATCTGGCAAAGGCGTACAGATTTGAGTGTTATTGAGCAAGGAAACTGGGGAGTCACCCTAGGGCTTGTTCAGAGGCACAGAGGCTGTGACCATGATTAAATAGAGACCAGCTGCTGGAGAATCTTGGTGTATGGGAGGAAGGGCTACTCGGCTACATGGGAAAGATTTGCAGAGTCTGTTGGAAATGGTCAGGGAGAAGTTATAAACCGTTTACTCTGGAAGACCCATCACACTGGTTGGTGTCCTACTCAGACTCACCTGCCTCTAAACATTCCTTCTTTCTTCCATTCTCCTGAACCTACAGGAGTAATCTCAGCCAACTATTAGGAAGAACAATTGGAGAACAGTTCTGTAATTTGACCGGATGCAGCTTTGTTGGAAGGAAGACAGTGCTTTTTTGTTCTTTCTGTTTTGTTTTGGTTTTTAAGAACACATCTTTTTTGGGGAAGTGGTTATGTAGCAGTTGAAGCCCATGATTTTTTTTTTCCCCTCTCACACTTAAGAAGCCAGGCTCTCTCCCTCCACTGGGACCCGGTGGAGTTGAGCTTCTAGAACCAGAGCCAAGGCCTGCAGGTGGCTCCTTAAATATTTCAGGGGGAGAAGGCAGGGGCAGGGCCTGAGTCCTATGGGGCCAGCTGCAGTCAGACAGAGAAGGCCTGGGGCAGGGCGGGGAGCCAGAGGAGGCCTGGCCTCTCACTGGGGAAGCTTTGGTACCTCTCCAAGCCTCAGGGTCTTGATGGCTGGAGGGTGTCTGTCTCCAGTTTGCTATGAGGATTCAGTGAGAGGGCCCATGACACTCTTGGCCCACTGCCCCACACAGAGCAAGCCCTCAGGCATGTGCTTTCTTTTGCCTTCTTCTCAAGGTGAGAATAGGACCAGGAAGAGGCTCCTTTAAAAGCTCTGGGTTGTAACCAAGAGAGTGGAGGGAGAGGAAGAAGCTGCTGGGGTAGCAAAATGCCTTCTGTTGGCTGCACTCAGCTGCTCTCTCTCCTCCCCAGAGGTATAAAGGAGGAGGAGCAGCACTCCCTGGCTCTGGTACCTCTTCCGTGTTCCCTTCAGACCCCTGCCTCTTCACCTGCTGGCGCCCAGTTCCCAGGCTCTTGGTCAGTGTGGGGTCTCATGCCCGCCCCCTGCTCCCATCCATGCCCACTGCAGCTCGTGTGCCCACCTGCCTCTGCAGTCCTCTCTGGAAATCGCCCTTGCCCAAGAGCTCTCCCACCCAGGGCCACCCGGAGGCCAATGATTGAATGCTGTGGGGACATCTTCATTTTGACACAACTCCCTAGGTGACCCATCCCAGAGTGCCCCATCAGATCCTCAGAAACTCATCGTGAGCAAGCTTCTCCCTGAACCCCATGCTGCTCTGCCCCCTTCTTTACGGATATGCCTGAAGAGTGCTCCCAAAAACCTTCTGTGTGTGGCTCCAGGGAGCCCACTCTAGGACAAGTCGTTTTGTTGTCTTGGCTCCTCTAACTATAGCTCACCCCTCTGACTTCCTGGGTGCCCACTTGCCACTAAAATGCAGCCATCCTATATCCTAAGTGATTGAAAAATGGGTGCTGATGAATTAATATGTTGCCCAATAAGCATAATTATCATGGGAACCAACACCCAGGTACAGCTAGCAATCTCCAAAGCGCAGGTACGGATGTCATTTCATTTGCCAGAAGGGCATGATCGTCTCTGTCATGATTCTGCCTGGACTTGAATTTTAGTTCTACTGTCATTAGTCTTGTGACTTAAAGCCAGGTAGTATAAGCTTTCTCTTTCTCAGTTGCCTCATCTGTAAAATGGGAATGACGATGATCCCTTCCTCAAAGAGTTTTTATTGCAATTGAATGAATCAATAGCATGTAAAGGAATCAGAATAGCTCTGCCATGTAGTAGGTTCTTAGTAATTGTTTGCTAGATACTCAGGCCAAAAATCTAAAGAGCAAAGGTTTGCTTTTCTTTTTCTTTTTTTTTTTTTCTTTTTCTTTTTTGTTGGTGCTGGGGATTGAACCCAGGGCCTTATGCATGTGAGGCAAGAACTCTACCAAATGAGCTATATCCCCAGCCCAAGGTTTGCTTTTTTTTTTTTGGTGGTGGTGGGGGCGGGTACTGGGGACTGAACTCAGGGGCACTCGACCATTGAGCCACATCCCAGCCCGATTTTGTATTTTATTCAGAGACAGGGTCTCACTGAGTTGCTTAGCACCTCACTTTTGCTGAGGCTGGCTTTGAACTCGCGATCCTCCTGCCTCATCCACTGGGATTACAGACATGTGCCACTGCAACCAGCCCAAGGTTTGCTTTTAATGATTACTTTCTATGTGACCACACCTGTGTCTACACTCATTGTTTATTTTTTATGCTGGTTTGGAATGTAATCTCTGATGGAGAGAGAACATTTTTTTAAGTGCAAATTTATCTACCTTTTTACCAAACGTAGTACAGGATCATGCACCTAAAATTATTCAAGAAATACTAAGTGTCTTGAAATTATTCAAGAAAACCCGACTATCAGGTTGATTGACTGATGAAAGAAATCTCTAGGAGCTGTCTCAAACTGGTGGCTTGTAGGATTACTGGACCTCCAAGATATACGGTCTGGCAAGTACAATGTTTCAATGTTTTACTCAACATTGAAATTCTTCAGAAGTACACTACAAGACTGACCATTTGCTATAGTATTCTACATGTCTCAAAACTCTGTTACCTGCCTAGCCTTTGTGTGTATTTGGGTTTGTGACCTTGCACAGAGGGTGACACACAACAAGGCTTTCCTTATACAGAAAGAGCTGAAGGTGCTGACTGGCAGAGGTCCTTTGTGGTTGTTTTCTTCGCCCCCACTAGGAACTTTTTCAGCCTATTCCCATTTCCGTCAACCTCCTTGGGTGCCTAATAATAACTTGGTGTCCTCCCTCATAGGTACTATAAGATCACCGTGGTGCTCATGTGCTTTGTGTTCCCCACGGTGGTGCCCTGGTACATCTGGGGAGAGAGTCTGTGGAATTCCTATTTCTTGGCTGCCATCCTCCGTTACACCATCTCCCTCAATGGCACCTGGCTGGTCAACAGTGCTGCCCACATGTATGGAAACCGGCCCTATGACAAGCACGTCAGCCCTCGACAGAACCCACTTGTCACTCTGGGCGCCATTGGTGAGTAGGGGAATTGAAAGTCCACAGGGAGAATGACATTTCAGTGGTTTTATGGGATCTGTAAAGAGAAGGAGTGGAGTGGAGTGAACTTGAGCTTTGACCTTAGAATCCCGGCTCTTGCAAACTCATGTGATTTCTCTGATTTACAGGAATACATAAATTGCTTGGTGCAGTGCCTGCTACATAATAGGTGATCAATAAATAGTAGTTATTTATTTTTACTACAGAAGTTTTCCTAAAGAAGCAGCAGCAGTTGACTTTTCTCTCAAACTTCCCTGGCCACTCTAGCCTTGACTGTCCAATCATGTGGCAGGAAAAAAGGGCTTCAAACAGAGAGATGGGAAGAAAGGAGACACAGACTCTCCAGGGACGACAAAATGCTTAAGAGCTAGGCTAATGGAGTCATGTGAGTTTGGTCAAGTCCTGGATCCTCCACTTATTCTCTGGGCAAGTGATCTGGCTCCCCTACATTTAATGTCCTTATTTGTAAAGTAAGGATAATAGTAGGTATCCCTTACCTCCTCCTGGGTTCATTGGACAGTCAGATGAGTTAATAATACCTAGTGTTTAGAATGGTGCTTAGCAGCTTAGCATGAAATCAGCCTTCTGTGCTGTGGCTTTTATTGTTAGCCTTATGAGCTTAGGTGCGTTACTTGTCCTGTACATCTGCATTTTAAAATGGGGATGCTCATAGCAGTTAGCTCAGAGGTGTGAGGATATTAGGAGTTGATACCTGGTAAGACACACGAGGCCCTGTGCCTGGCACACAGTAAGTGATTCATAAATATTAACTACTTCTTTACAGAAGCAACTCAGACTCCTTGGTAAGCTGTGTCCTGAACACAGAGATCAACCCAGGAAGGGAGATTCCTACTGCTAGGCAGGAACCGTCTCTGTGCCACTCAGGGATGAGTTTCTGCCACTATTTCATTCTATTAGTCATCTATTTGTGAAGACCTCAGGGATCCTAAAGATTTTGTCAACTTGTGCTAGAAGCTGGATGAGAAGGTAGAAATGGGTCTTGGAATTAAAAGAGGAAGTGTTTCCTGCCCCTCCCCCCCATGGCCTTCTTTTTCTCTCACCCCTTATCTTCTGAGGACCACAATGAGGGGCGCCACATCCAGAAGTGGGGATAAGACGAACCATCACATCTTATATAGGGATAGATGGGCCAGGAACCTGAAGAGCTGGACATTGGTGTTAGGTCTGTCCAGGCCAATGCTGGACACCCGGGAGGTTTGCTTTATAAAGGTCCTTGGAAAGCTTGTGTTGCATTTAATTGTCCAGCAGAGCCTGGAGTGTATACGTAGTGCCTGTCTGAAAACAGGGAGAAACTCCTCCGTACTGTACTCCATGGAAAACACCAAAAATGATGCAAGTGAAGGCAGAGAAGGAAAGAGCTAAAGTAAAAAAGAAAACTGCAGACCACAGATGAGTCCATGTGATGGACTGATTGTAAAGTGGAGTCCCTTCTTCCAGTATGATCAGAGGAGAACCAGTACCCACTCCAGAAGTAAGGGGAGAGTCTGTTTTCAGTCCTCAAACAGCTGAAAACAGCACCTGGCGACTCCACTCCCCGATTTTATACACAAGAGAAATGAAAACATGTGCCTGCACAAAAATTTGTATATGAATGCTGACAATATTATTTATGGTAGCTAAAAAGTGGAGAGGAACCCAAATGTCCACCAGCTGACGAACAGATAAATGCAATGCAGCGTATCCATACACTGAAATACTACTCAGCAATGAGATCATGTTAAGAACATGCTAAGTGAAAGAAGCCAGTCACAAAGGACTACATGTTGTATGACTTCATTTACATAAAATGTCCAGTACAGACAAATTATGCAGACAGAAAGTAAGTTGGGAGGGATTGGGAAGAGGTTGAGGAGACGGCAAGGAAGTGTAGGCATATCTCTGGGAGTAATAAAAATGTTATAAAATTCACTGTGGTGATGGATGCACACCTCTATGAATATACTAAAAGCCTTCCAATGGGATAGTTTTAAAGGGTGAATTGTATGGTATGTTAACTATATCTTAATAAAGTCATTTTATAAAATTAAGGTAATTTTATAAAATTCATTAATCATCAGAGAAGTGCAAATATAAATCAGAATGAGATATCACTTCCACTGTTAGAATGACTATTAGCAATAAGACAAAAGATCACCAGCACTGGGGAAGATATGGAGAAGAGGAAACCCTTGCCCACTGTTGGCGGGACTGTAAGTTAGTGCAGCCATTATAGAAAACAGTATGGAGGCTCCTCAAAAAATTGAAAATCAAACTCCCATCTGATCTGACTCAGGAATCCCACAGCTTGGTATGTATCCAAAGGAAATGAAATGACAATGTTGAAAGAGAGATTTCTGTACTGATTGAAACATTGTTCACAATAGCCAAGATATAAAATCAACCTCAGTGTTCATCCATGGGTGAATGAATAAAGAACATGCATTATGTAAATGTGGAATATATCCACAATGGAATATTCTTTAGTCTCAGAAAAGGAAATCCTGTCATGTGTGACAGTCTGGATGACCCTGGAGGACAGTGTGCTAAGCAATCAAAGCCAGGCACAGAAAGACAAATACTGCATGTTCTCAAATGTGGAATCTAAAAAAGTTGAACTCATAGAAGTAGAGTCAATGACCAGGGTGGGGTGACAGGGAGGCTGGGAGTATTGGTTAAAATATACAAAATTCCAGTTAGATGCAAGAAATAATTGATCTATTGTACAATATGGTGACCATAGTTAATGATAATATATTGTGTCTTAAAAATTGCTGAAAATAGGGCTGGGATTGTAGCTCAGCGGTAGAGCGATCGTCTAGCACGTCATGCAAGGCCCTGGGTTCGATCCTTAGCACCATATAAAAAAAATAATAAAACAAAAGTATAAAAAAATTGCTGAAAATACATTTTAAGTGTTCTTACCATAAAAAATAAGTATGAGAGGTGACATGTTAATTAGCTCAATTTAGTGATTCCACAGTAAATATACATATTTCAAAACATGTTTGTATGATACATACATATTTTGTCAATTTAAAAAACAAACAAAAGAAACACACACAAAAAAATCAATTTGGAGAAGCCCTCATACCTTTCATGAACATATTTTTGAAAAAATGGTAAGGGAGGAGAGCAACTCATTGGGAGAGGGAAAATATATATGGATAGGTTTGAGATTTTTTTTTTCTTTTTGGTACCAGGATTTGAACCCAGGGACACTTAACCACTGAGCAACCTCCCCACCCCATTTTATTTTTTATTTTGAGACAGGATCTCACGGAGTTGCTTAAGGCCTTGCTAAGTTGCTGAGTCTGGTTTTGAACTTGCAATCCTCCTGCCTCAGTCTCCAGAGATTACAGGCATGTGCCACCACCCAGCTGATTTTGGATATTTAAAGATCTAACTCCTTAATTTACTTATCTGAATGATTCTGATTCCCCTCCTCCAGGCTCTCCCAAGAAGTCTTGCTGTCATCACTCCAGTCCACAGAGACTCTTTTTCTTTTATAAACATGTCAAAATGATGATCTGTTATCAGCCACTTAGCATTTAGCTTGAGAAGTCCATCTTGAAGTCTTTACTATCATTTCCGCAATTCACACAGGAAATTAATCCTGTGATTTTATGCTGATAACTAATGGCATTATTTTTCTGTCCACACTGAATCTAACCAACTGAGAAAATGTTCTTGAGGGTTGAAACCAAGTCTTTTGCTCCCCACAGAGCCTGACATAATGTCTTATACATGATAGACACTCAAAAAAATGGGTGATAGCCTGGCACAGTGGCATATCTTGTCATCCTGGTGACTTAGGAGGCTAAGGCAGGAGGACTGCAAGTTCAAGGCCAGCCTCAACAGTTTAGCAAGACCCTCAGCAACTTAGGAAGACCCTATCTGAAAAAAAAACAAGAAATAAAAATAAGAAATTAAAGGACTGGATAGCTATGTCAGACGTAAAGCACCGTTGGGCTCAATCTTTAGTACCACCCTCACAAAAATAGGGGATATAAAAATCTATGCAAGTAGGTGCCCATAACTGAGGAGTTGTGTATATACACAAGTGTGGTATTATATACAATGGAGTTTTACTCAGTTATAAAGAATGAAATATATCATTTGCTGGGGATGTGGCTCAGTGGGCAGAGAGCTTGCCTGGCATTCCTGAGGCCCTGGGTTTGATTCCTAGCACTGCAAAAAAGAAAAAGAAAAGAAATTATGTTAGTCACTGGTTAGTGGATAGAACTGGAGAACATTGTGCTAAATGAAATAAGCCAGACCCAGAAAGTCAAGGGTTGAATATTTTCTCTCAGATGCAGAAGCTAGAGAGAGAATTTTTTTAAAAAGGGGATCTCATGAAATAAGGGAAGGAGATGGAGAGGGAGGGAGAAGGGGAAGACATGGGGGAAATACTGGGTAATATAATCTACCCAATTATGCTATGTCCTTGTTTGAATATCCATAATCAATCCCACTGATATAATTATAATGTATTAATTAAATACACTAAATAATAATAATAATAATAGAATCAGTAAAATAGTCAAACACGATCAGGGGGAGAAATAAAATGAAGGAAAGGAAAGGTCCTGGGGAATGAGATTGATTAAATTTTGTCATGTGCATGTACAAATATGCCACTATTAGTGTATACACTATTGGGGTATCGGTAATACACCACCAACAGAGAAATCAGTACAGAGAGGAGGTGGTAGAGTTATGTCAAAGGCTCTCTTTGTCTTCCAGGTGAAGGTTTCCACAATTACCATCACACCTTTCCCTTTGATTACTCTGCGAGTGAATTTGGCTTAAATTTCAACCCGACCACCTGGTTCATTGACTTCATGTGCTTGCTGGGGTTGGCCACTGACCGCAAACGGGCCACCAAGGCCATGATCGAGGCTCGCAAAGCCAAGACTGGAGATGGCAGCGGCTGAATCTGGAACAGCGTCCCCACCTCTGCCTCGGCTCAGGGCTCTTATCACTGCAGTTCCCTTGTTCGTGGGTCGTAGGAGGGGGTGGAGGATGGGGAAGGAATGGGATCTATGTGATGTGGGAATTTCTTGTTTTCTCAAAATGATGTCAACTCTAACTATTGATAAAAAAAATTTTAGTCAATATTAGGATCATGATTTAACATTAGAATGTGAACATGTGATTTCTTCACTGTAGCTACAATGTGTCATATATACATTGTTGTGTGCTTGTACATGATGTTAACCCTGGCAGGATAGATATTTAACTCTTTCAGTGTGATCCGAGAGAGTATTTGTTTTATTTTCTACCAATTAACCCAGTATTGCTTTTAAACATACCATCTAAAGGAGCAGAGAGGTGGGGTAGAAGACAAAAGAGGGGGTCTTCACAGTAACAGAAGAGTGTTCCTGTTTTGTAATTACTGTGTCTGTGTGCTTTTTATTTTTGTTTTTTGGATTGTTAATGTAAGAGATTCAAAAACTTTAAAAAATGAGGATAATGGAAATGACTCTTTTTCCCCCTGTTTACAGCTAGCTAATGCTCCACTGCCTTTGTTTTAAATGAGATCGGTTCACTACCAAGCTAGTTTTGTGCTCTAGCCATATGCTCAGCCCAACCTATAAATCAATGCCTGCTTAGATGTTTGATTTTGTTCTCTTTGCTATTGTCATTTTAAAGGTGTATAACTCACACACGCCAGACATCAAATTAAGCTAAAGGAAGCTCTCATTTAAATGTTTAGACACCTAATTTGTATTCTAATTGATCCTAGCCACTGATGCATGTACTTTAGCTACTCCTGCTAAATAAGTGGTATTAGTTTTTCACACCAGGCCATCAGATCTTAATAACTGAAAGTTGTCTAGAACTCTTTGTCTATTAACGTTTCATCTGCATGCTCTGTCATTGATTTTGCAGCAAAATATAAAGTGATCATTATGTAGTTTCTGGACTAAAGCAATTTTTGTATGTTCAGTTATCTTGTAAAGAGCATGTCAGATTAATGGAAAATGTGCCCTTTGTGTTAGATGTGTGTATACAAAGGAAGGCTCTATAGCAATGTTGTTATAAGAGTACTTTGAAGATAGATATTTTCAAGAACAATGTACGACTTAAAATGTAAGTTTTAGAAAGAGAAATGATGCCAATCAGAAATTATCATAATGAGGTTCTTTATCCAGCAGGTGTTTGACTGTGTTATTTTGCCATTAATAATGTGTAAACTACAAGTGATTTACAATAAATAGTTATGAATTCATTGGTATTGTCATCCAGATGCTTACATGTTTTTTGTTGTTGTTGTTGTTGTTGTTGTTTTTGTTTTTTGTTTTTTTTGGTGGTGCAAGGGATTGAACCTAGGGCCTTGTGCATGCAAGGAAAGCACTCTACCAACTGAGCTATATCCCTAGCCTCCAATGTTCTAGAGAGAAAGTTATTTTGAAAGCACTTGATGCTTCTTGAAGACCACATTTGACTTGGGCTCTGGACACCAACAACCCTGAGACCAGATCTCTCTCATTCCACCTGCCTAAGGTCAGAGGGAAAGCCAGCTAGTTCTGTGCGGAATACAAAACCCCCAGTGTTATTGTTCCCCATTTCTCATATACCAACACTCTCACTTCTCTGCTTCTAGCTGATAAATAGGAACCTCTACTCCTACATGTCACCCAGAAGAGCATGAAGGACCTCCTTCTTCTCCACGCTCCATCAGTCATGATCAGAGGTGGATGAGATGGGCTCATACTCCCACTCCAGTCCTGAGTCTCTCAGTTTTGCCTCTGTTCCATCAGAGTCTCTATCTTTTATCCCAAAACAGCTGTGCTATTGCATCAGACATAGACTTCTTAGCCCATAGCTTAGTGGTTCCAGCCATTGATGGCTGCCAGACCAGATCTCATTGTGTAAGGACCCTTTGGATACACCTGTGGCATTTCTCAGCCACTTCATATTCCAGTCACTTATTGCTAAGACCTCATATGGAGTGTTGGTGGTTGTATTCCAAGATGAGTTTGTACCAGCATGACCTAAAATGATCCTGACTGGGAATGTTTTATGTGAACCTTTGACCCCTGAAAGTGATAAACTTACTTGCCCATTGATAGAAAAAGTTACATTTGGGGTAGCTATTTGAAATCTTTTCACAAAAAGAGGATGTTTCCCAGTTAGTACAAATAAATTCAGAGTCTCACTCCTCTGAACTTGAGTACCACCGTCTCTGTCTACAGCAACACCTATGATAAACAGGAAGAGGTAGACAAAGTTTAGATCTCTCTAGGGTCCTCCATATGAACCCTCCCTGCAGGTCTCAGCAGCATCTAAAGGAAGAGAGTTACCCTAAGCCCATTCAAGGAGGCCCTGAAGAGTTTGAGACTTGTTTTGGAAAATTCAGTTTAAGGTAAGGGAATGATCTCCCCGTGTCCTGTGTTTAATCTCCTCGGTCCTACAAGGTCTACCTGAGAAACACCAACCTCTGCATATAGTCAAGGGGAGCCAAAGGGCAGCAATTCCATTAGTGCATATCCTAAGGTGTCATGGCAGCTGCTTGGAGCTGGCCTGGAATTAGGGTGCCAACTCAAGTGCAGCTCAAGTCCCCAGCTGTGCTACTGGGAAGCTGGGTGACCTTTAGAAAACCAATCTTCCTGGATTCAGTTTTCTTATCTGCAAAAAGAGAGAATTAAATCAGACCCTATCTAAGATCCACTCAGCCCTAATGTAAAATGGCAACAACAGGGTCCTGACTATGTCTGACCTCAGATTTGAGACACCTCTCAAGTCAGTACCTGTCCTTTCTGGGACCTGGAGGATAAAAATTAAGGAGAACTAATTGAATCTGAATGGGAGAACAAAGACAGAGGCTGAAAGGATAGAATGTTCCTCATTCAAAAAAAAAAAAAAAAGAAAAAAAAAAGTCACACATATTTCACTTATTCACAAAATGCGATGAAGCAATAAAACATAATCCACCATGATTAATGACAGAATATATTGGAAAAAGCTCTACAACTTTGGGGTAGTAGAAATAGCACTAGGCTCAGAGTCTTAAGACCTGAATTTGAATTCTAACACTTGCCCTCACTTGCTGTGTTCTATAGAGCATGTTTCTAGGCTCCACCATATTGAAAGTGCCCTTTGCTAATGTATTAAGCCTCTTTGGGCCTCAGTTGTCCTTATCCACAAAGTAGGAACAGCTGCACTTTGGTGTATCCAATGATTCTGGAAGCTTCAGCTTCATGCAGTGCCTACTGCATCTTAGAGTCCCAGGCTACTCAGTTTAAGGTGAGTGGCATGTCCCAGACACAAGCTGAAAACTGGAAGTGTGCCGAAGGCCACAGACTGGAAGTGGGGAGGGCCAGCGTGTGGGCCCGATTTTGCTGCCCTAAATTAGAGCTTCAGCTTCACCTTCCATATGGAAGTTGACTGGATTGATTTGTCATGTTCAGCTCTGCCCTTTGGGGGGTCTTCACTGTTCCGTTTGAAGAAGTGAATGTGCCTCACTCAATGTATGGTCTTTTTTCCTGTCCCTCTGAAGCTCGGACCTCCTCACTGTGCCTCACAACTTCATTAGGGGACAAGTCAGGCCTGCAGTGTGTGCAAGCTTCAGTTGGCGGCTCACTGAAGCTGAGACAGAAGATTTGTAAAGGAAAGAGATTGAAGCTCGTGAATAAGAAAGAGCATTACCAGGGAGGTTCATTTCTCTATTTCAATCCTGTCCCCGATTACAAAAAAAGACAGAAAATGAGTTATGTTCTCAGTGGCCGTTCATGTGGGGCGTAAAGGAAAAGGAAGGAAAGAAATATCCTAATTTTTATAATCTTGCTTTTTGACTCCCCCATTTTTAGCTCAGGGTGTTAGTCAAAATCCTTTCCTTCCTTTTCCTCTACGTCAGGGAAATGCTATAAATGAGCTGGAAACTCCTCTGCTTGTTCTCTCTCTGCTGTTCCCTTGTGGACCTTAGAGTTAATAGCCCTCCCCTCCACCCCAGGAATGTTCCTGACTTCTAAATCTGCAACATCAGAAGGAGAGGAAGGAAAGCCCTGGTCTTAGGGCACCTATGACACAATAAGCTGACAGTCTGTGTAGCCACTCTGGCTCGGACACAGCATTTTTCTTTCCCTCTTCCTCTCAGCCTCCACGATATCTCTGAGTCCCCATCTGGACAAGCAGTCAGGCCGCATCCTGTCCATCGCTACCATCCAGGACTCCAGAGGAAAATACAGCTCTCAGCCTGAGTTAGCGGGGGCTGTGAAGGCTTTGCCCTGAGAGAACCCTTGGGTACAGTGCCTGACCTATTTTACTATGGAGAAAAATGACTTTGCCTTGGACCACCTGTCTACATCCCTCACAACTCCCATGTGTTACCTGGGTGTCCCCTGTTTTCAGTCCTCTAGCAGGCAACCTTTCATTTTGTCACTGAGAATATTTTCAAAACTTGCTCTTCTATCAGAAGCACTAACTACTGGGCAGAACGAGCAACCCTTGTACTATCGATGGACAAGGTGATGGGCCACGCCAGGGTGGAGTGTGATTATATTTTCACAACCGTATTTTACGTTCACAGCATATGGATTGCAAAACATGGGTGCATAGAGGGTGCTTCGTTATCCTGGGCTGTGCGACAAGATTGCTAGTGGGAGTGGGTTTGGGAGAGATGGGCAGGGCCTTCCAGGTACGTGTTGGGATCATTAGTGGAGGGTAAATGAGGCTAACTGAATAGCCAGCATCTCAAAGCAAGACTGAATGGCCATGCAGGTGGTGACTCTCCAGTTCCAGTAAACGAGCTCCTCCCACCTGAGGTGGAGGGGCAGGGAAGACCTGCTTTGGTTCCTTCCTGGCCCTGCAGTGGCTGCCTGTGAATGAAGAATGGCTCTTACAGCTGACAGAGCTCCTTAGACTTCTCAGAACTCAAGGACACAGGTTTCCAGTATCGTAAAGGCTTATGCCAGATGTGCCAACCAGTGCGTGCATCTATTTGCACTGTTCTCTGCAGCTCCTGCTGAATCGAGCTATTTGTAACACACAGGGTCAAAATTCTCAGCGTCAGCACGTGAGGATGTGTATATGGTCCACCACGGCCAACCTGGAGAAAGAAGGTCTCAACACAGAAACTTTAGCCTGGATGGTTTCAAATCGCTATTTTAAAACACCTAGGGAATTGGTTCCCCACGTCCAGCCGACAAGGCACTCGTGTTCAAAATAAGCAATGATATATTGGACCCTTTTAACCACTTTTTTTAGTCCAATTTGAAGCCAGGGGCCTAGGTCAGTCTTAAGACACTGAAAAGGGCAGGCCATTTGGTTGAGTTTGGTTTATGGTATATTACCTGATTCTTTGGCTCGCATCAACACAACTGAAGGATATTTACATCGGTAATTTTGGGGGTTCAAACAGCTTAGGAAAAATAGGCAAAAGCTCTGCTTCTTCATTTGTAATGTGTAAGAGGTATAATCACTGATTGCTTAGGTTTTTTAGATCAGAAGCTATAGGAATCCATTACTATAACAGATACCTGAGATAATCAACTTATAAAGAAAAAAGGTTTATTGTGGCTCACAGTTGTGTTGATTCAGTCCATGATTGGTTGGCCCTGTTGCTTTGGGCCTGTAACAACACATCAGGAGGAAATGTAAGACAGAGCAAAGCCACTCACCTCGTGGCCAGCATGCAAAAGAGTTAGAGGAAGGGACTGGTGTTCCACTGTACCTTTCAAGGGTATGTCTCCAACGACCTGAGGACCTCCCACTAAGTCTCACCTTGTAAATATTTCAGTATCTCCCAATAGCACCAGAGGCTGGGGACAAAGCCTTTAATACATAGGTCTTTAGGGGACAGTCCAGATCCAAACTTCAGCATTCTATCTTTGACTCCCAAAGGTTCATGTCTCTCTCACAATGCAGAATGCATTCAGTCCGTCTCCAAGAGTCCCCTGAGCCTCCTAACTATTCCAGGATTGCTCAAAAGTCCAAAGTCTCCTTTAAAGGTAAACTCTTAGCTGTTGTGATCTCCTATAAAAACTTAAAACCACAAATTATATTCTTCCAAGACACAATGGTGGCCCAGGTAGAAGGCAAACATTCATATTTCAAAAGGCAGGAACAGGAAAATAGCAAGAAGAGATCAAACTGAAGCAAGACAGAAACCCAGCAGGGCAAACATTCAACTCTACAGCTCTGTATCTGGCATCTGGTGCACACTGCGGGGGGGGGGGGGGGGGGGGGGATATGGGCTCCCCAGGGCTTGGGCTGCCCCGCCCCTATGGC